AAAATATTTTAATCAAATATACTTTTTATATGAGATAACTAATTTTTATTAATTAATTTTATTAATAATAATATTTCATTATAGTAAACTTAATTAATATAATATTATTAATTAATATTGTAATTAATTATAAAATATTTACTTTTTAAATAATTAATAAAACATTTACTTTTTAAATAATTAATAAATTTATTTTTTTTAATTATCTAGTTAATATAAAATGAATTAATAAGTCACACAATGGAGTTACAATAATGTCTCCTCTTTGGTCATTTGACATTTAATACCATCTCATAAATTATTGGTTTACCGAACACATATCTACTTGTATCTCCTTATAAGTTAAGGGGTTTACCAAACAACTTTTTTATTCTCTTACGTTCTTATAAGAAGTTTTGAGGATAAGTAAAATTTATAAGGGCTCAAAAAAAAAAAAAGAAAAAAAAAGAAAAAAAGAGAATAACTAACAAGTAACTTATAAGGACTCGAAAAATCAGTAGTAGCCAAACAGGCTCTAAGACACAGTTGACCCTTGACAACTCGTGTGCTTCTTTTGACTATAAAATTTTAGTTGAAGAACTTTGTGTTTTAACAAGTATTATCCTTAATCGGCCACATCCCGACAGTTAATCACATGTCGATGTACTCTAATTACATAACATTTTGTATTATTATTGCATAACACCTATATGCTTTTATGACCAAACTTGATACTCAGAGAATCATTATGTATTTCAAAGTACAAGCAGCCTTTTAAATAGTATCAACTTTGTTATTAGCTTTAGGACGCAAGATTGGTTGTGACCTAAATATTTTTGGCTTATGCTCCCCCATGAAGCTCAGAAGAGAGCAATTAGGTGTTTCTGTCCCTTGGAAGAAGAAGATAAATAGTTATAAATTCAGAGATGTTTGTGGTTTGTCTCGGAGAGCGAGCAAGATTAACTTAATTAACTCTTTTAAGTCAATAGAATTAGTAGCCAACAAGGGAATCAAGTTGGTCTATGTGGAAAAAAGCCCGATC